TAACTTCTGGTTTTGGTAGCTGTTTTATTGTATTCCAGATTAGGTGCTCATGTTCATTTTGTAAAATTGAGATGCAAATGTTGGAAATGTATGCATGTGTTTTGAACTCAAAATATAATGGAATTTGCCTTCAAGCAATTGTTCAATTGGAAATTCCCTAACAATTGTGCATACATAAACATTCTGCATTTCCAATTTGCCTCAGAATTGTTCATACATAAACATCTTTCATACAACTTCACATGGGAAATTACAAGAAACAGACCTTTCATACACAAAGCACTTTGATTTTCCAGAATGTCCCACAAATGGCCACAAAATACATCACCCAACCTTTCTAAGATATAGACCCTAAAATGTAAGTGCTAATTTCACATTCTTGGAAGATCCAGAGTCTCTCCATTCCACTACTAGCATTCCCAACAACACAATCAAAAAAATCCAAGAACCCAGAACACTTGCTCGTAGAAATCTTTGTGCTTTCAAGGCAGCTCCAACATCTTTTTTCAATTTTCGGTTTTCCTCTTCTTCCTTACGCAATCGTTTCAATAGTCCAGATATCACAATCTTGGACCTTTCGCATACCTGTGGATCATACCATTCAAAGAATGCACAACCTCTTCTGACCCCATAATCGGCGCAGCCCCAAAATCTTCTCCCAAGGTTGTTGTCAGTCCATGACGTCGTCAAACGACATTGATTGCCGCAGTGACAAATGGGCTGGCCCACTTCGCATCTTCGATTTGCAGACATCGTCGTCTTTGTCTTCTTCGAATTGGAACCTGGTCATCCACTTCTATCGATTTTGGCGGCTAATGACCCCAAAATCTTCTTCCAGGGTTGTTGTCAGTCCACGACGTCGTCAGACGACATTGATTGCCGCAGTGACAAATGGGCTGGCCCACTTCGCATCTTCGATTTGCAGACATCGTCGTCTTTGTCTTCTTCGAATTGGAACCTGGGCATCCACTTCTATCGATTTTGGAGGCTAGGTCTGAGTGGGGGCTTCGACATGGAACACGATTTGGGGGTTTTCTGTGTTTCTTTTTTGAATTAAACTAAACCACGTGTTGGCGCGAAAACCAGGGACCTGATCTGCCGAAAATGCCCTTAAAAAATTGTCCAGCTAGACGCCACGTAGGCACATAACGGATTTCATGACGGAATCGCTAACGGAGGGGGCGATCTGTAATTTTTTGCGACGTTGTGTATGTACCCATAAATGTTCCCAAAATCGGGTATGAACTCGTAAATGACCCTATAGGTTAGGGGGTTTACTGTAGTTTGTCCAAATAAAAATTATTATTATTTTTTAAAACATGAGTTTTCAAATAGTGATTTTAAGATCTAAAAACTTGTTTGGTATTGAACTCCAAATTATTTTTAAGATCTAAAAAAAATTGAAGTCAAAATCAAAAAATCAAAAACCCTAGATTCCCAAATTGAAATTAACAAAAGAAAAGGAGAGAGGGAGGAGAGAGAGGAAGAGAGAGACGGGAGAGGAAGGAGAGATAGAGATGAGAGAGAGAGAGCGAGAGAGAGAAAATTTATAAAACTTCACTTCTTCTTCTTTTTTTTAATAATGAGGGTGTTTTCGAGTTTTAAAAAATGGGCCTACCAAACGGGTTTTTGTGGCTTTTGACTTAAAATCTGTTTTTGAGTTGATAAAATTGAATTTAAGTTGGATACCAAACATACCATTCTAATTAGATTTTGTTTAATTGCTAAGGTATCATACTATTGAAAGATTCTAATTTTAACCCATTTTTGGTCATGCATATATATGATCTTTCCCTCACCACTCGGACTAACCTCAAAAGCATTTTAATGTTCTAGGTGTATTTTGCAATTAATCATTGCTCAGGAGAGCTTGAGTTAGTAGTAAGTATCAAATGAAACAAGATTATTAATCCGCAGTTCTATGTTTGTATAGGAACTTAATTCATAATTAATATATATATATATATATATATATAATACTGATTATGATTTTTCCGACATGCTATTTTTTGCCATTCACAATGTCGAGCTAGCTAGTAGCTACATATTCTTTCATGTCATGTTGACATGTGTGGTAGGCAGAGGCGGAGCCACAGTGGGGTCGTCGGGGTCGGACGACCTCTTGGAAGCCATGGAAATAGTCTTGGAGGTCCCTTGGAGCTGCTGGCGCGACCTCTTGGAGCTGCACACCACGTGGTTGACGGAATGCTTGAAAGAAGAAAACAGAACAGCTGAAGAAGAAGGAGGCGAGGCTGCTGGCGCGCATCTTTTTTTTTAAAACAACCTGGGCAAAACGACGTCGTTTTGGCCCAGGGAATCTTTTTAAATGACCTTTTACTTTTATTTATTTTTATATTACTCCATTTACTTAAGTTTACAATGTAAATAAGGAAGTACCCCCTATTTGGATTCAAATAAAAATACTAGAAAATCAAATTCTCACCAAATCAAAATATGAAAATTCGGTTTTAGTGCAAAATATGATTTAGGCTAAAAATGATGGCTCATTAAGTCAATATATGCTTCATACTAAAATCCCATAAAATCAAGTTTTCTTATTTGATATGTAGAGAATAAAAGCCGCCAAAAATTATTTTGAGAAAATGATTATTCCGAAAAACCATTTTTCATACATAGTCAGTATTTCACCTCCGCTAAAAAAATTCTGGATCCGTCTGTGAGACACTATAATTGAAGTCAAAGCAAAATGGCAAATTGCTATCTATTGGCCTCTGGACCATCACAAAGCATTCTTGCCCCCAGTAATAACAAAGTTTACACTTTAATATCTATCCGAAGCTGCAACTTCTGCCACTCTTGCGCCTCAGCTTGTGCATGCCATTCTAATTTTTTTTTTTTAAAATTAAAACTTAGGCAGCAGTTTAATTAAGGAATTTAGGGTAACTACATAATCTCCTCTCTCCTCCCTCCCTTTTCTATGTGATCTCAATTAAAATGATGTCTCAAGTTTATGTGTTTAGTGCGTAAGTGAAGTATTAGAGATGTTTATCGCACTAATTTCCAATAACAATGTGAGTTTTTATTTTCATTTTTTTGCATATGTAGAATATATATGTTGATTCCATCCTAAATTTTTTTTTGGGACTTTTACACTAAGACCCCTTGTGTTTCGATTCCTGGCTCCGCCATTGGTGGTAGGCCCAAAGTTGAGTTTTGCCACTAGTGAAAATCAATCATCCTAAAGTCAATGTATTATCAGGTGTGTGGTATTGTTTTTATTTTTATTTTTTTTTTAAATTTGCTTTTCTTTAGACCCCCAAGGACGTTCGGACCCGTTATATATACCCCCACACACTCCCACTCTTCCCACCTCACTTCAGAGTCTCGAATTCTTGCCTCCAAAAGTCTTTGAGTTGTCTCTCTAGCTTCGCTTTAGGCATTTGTGTTTATGTTTTAAATTCTAACTTCTCCGAAGGAAAAAAAAAAAAAGCACCCTACTCTTTTTTGGCTCTGTTCATACAAAAAATGAGTGAGAACAACAATCAACAAGTCTTTGACATCTCCATTGATGTGGTTCCAAAGAACAATGGCTCCAAATGCTTTGACGACGACGGACGGCTCAAACGAACTGGTGGCTTTCCCAACCCCTCCCCTGTTCTGTTTCCTCTGTCCTAAACCAACATTGTTGTATGTATATATTGTATGTATGCATCTCACAAAATCTGTCTTCTGTTTAATGCATGCAGGAAGTGTATGGACCGCAAGTGCACACATAATAACGGCTGTGATTGGATCTGGGGTGCTTTCCTTGGCATGGGCCATTGCTCAGCTAGGATGGATTGCTGGTCCATCTGTCATGTTCTTGTTCTCCTTTGTCAGCTACTACACTTCATGTCTCCTCTCTGACTGTTACCGTTCCGGGGACCCCCTCACCGGCAAGCGAAACTATACTTACATAGACGCTGTCCGCTCCATTCTTGGTATGTATGTACATAACAATATTTGCATGCACACTTCTACTCTCGTACTTCTCTAATTAGCTTTTAGTCTACTGGTATTTCTCCTCGTCTCTAGTCTCGGACTTTCGGACTTGCTTGTGTTTCCAAGGGCGTATTATAATTGGGTTGTTTTCCAAACCCAAATATTGTAGTAAGAAAATGATCTCAATCTCTTCATGCAGGTGGAGCAAGGGTCAAGGCTTGTGGGCTAATTCAGTATTTGAACCTTTTTGGAATTGCCATTGGATATACCATTGCAGCATCTGTTAGCATGATGTTAGTAGTATATTCCTCCAACTTACACGCCAACTGCTGGATATTAGATTTTCCTTGGCTTCTTGAATGTTTGGTTGATGTTCAATATTTTGGTTAATTTTCCTTGATAGGGCAATCAAGCGATCCAATTGCTTCCATGAGAGTGGAGGAAAGAAGCCGTGTCATATGTCAAGCAACCCCTACATGATCTTGTTTGGCGTCACAGAAGTTTTGCTCTCTCAAATCCCGGATTTTGATCAAATATGGTGGCTATCAATTGTTGCTGCTGTTATGTCTTTCACCTATTCTTCCATTGGTCTTGCCCTTGGAATTGTAAAAGTTGCAAGTCAGTGTTTCTAAACACCAACTAATTGAACATTCAAGTTGAATTTGAATAAACAAATACTAGCTGATTTGAGATCTCTTCTGTTTTTGGGAGCAGCAACCGGGACTTTTAGGGGCAGCCTCACCGGCATAAGCATCGGAACTGTGACCGAAACTCAAAAGATGTGGAGGAGTTTCCAAGCTCTTGGTGACATTGCCTTTGCCTACTCATATTCAGTGATTCTCATTGAAATTCAGGTACCCTCACTCTTTTCTCATTGAAATAGACACCCTAAAAACAAGATCAAGGGTTGAGCTCTAATTAAAGTTTAACCTAACCTGGGCTCACAGGACACCATCAAAGCCCCACCATCAGAAGCAAAGACCATGAAAAAGGCAACCGTGCTAAGCATCGCGGTAACGACAACTTTCTACATGCTTTGTGGGTGCATGGGCTATGCAGCTTTTGGAGACTTTGCCCCTGGAAATCTTCTCACCGGTTTCGGCTTCTACAACCCATTTTGGCTGCTTGACATTGCTAATGCCGCCATAGTAGTCCACCTTGTTGGAGCATATCAAGTATTTTGCCAACCCATCTTTGCCTTTGTTGAGAAATGGGCAGCACAGAGATGGCCTGAAAGCAAGCTTATCACCAAAGAGTTTCAAGTCCCAGTGCCTGGGCTACCCTCATTTAAGTTAAACCTCTTTCGACTGGTTTGGAGAACAAAATTCGTGATGCTAACCACAATAATATCAATGCTGCTTCCCTTCTTCAATGATGTGGTGGGGCTACTTGGGGCATTGGGATTTTGGCCATTAACTGTCTATTTCCCAGTTGAGATGTATATTGCACAGAAGCAGATTCCAAAATGGAGCACAAGATGGATTTGCCTCCAAATGTTGAGCATTGCTTGCCTGGTAATTTCTCTAGTTGCTGCTGCCGGTTCAATTGCCGGCGTCATGCTCGACTTGAAGGTTTACCGACCATTCAAAACCAGCTACTAAATCTGTCACTGACTATCCTTTGACTGTACGCAAAAGGAAATCAGTGAAATTCACTTCCCTTCCCTGTAAATTTTAAAAATGCTGTAATTGATTACCATTTTATAATTATCCGTGAGTTGGTGGCTACTAAACTGGTTTGTTTGTATGACTCATCACCAGCTAACTGATATTTATACCAAAACCGCTCACAACTCAGCTTCAAATTTCTCAAATCCAATCTGAAGGTGGGTTACAACCTTCAACTATTAACATCAGTGTTGTAGAAAAATCTCCAACCATTAATGAAAACAAAACTCATAATTAGATAGTATTATCCAAGTCATCCCAATGTTACAAAAATCAAAGTTAAAGTTGTATTAAGTCAACCTCTTTTTCACACAAGCAATATTGGAAGAGGGGGTAATCGAACCTATGACCTCGGGTCTAAGGCTACATGTTATTAAGTCTATTTTTAGTTTAAGTTTATAAATGATGTTTACAGCTGCTCAAAATAACAGCTATCATTCTAGTAGAAAACCATTTCATCAGTTAAGCCTTAGTTTGCTCGACTCTTAAAGAATGAAAGGCCTATTGCACTGTTTTGAGTAATCTTAACGAGAAAAAGCCAGAAGATTTGCCCCAATTCTCTCTCTCTGTGATCATTACCTTGAGTAGATACAGCAAACAGCCCTAACTTTCTTTTGCCAAAAAGCAAACAGCCCTAATAACAACAGTAAATTTTAGGATTGACAGCCAAACATACTGGCACTGAGAAAAAAGAGACTAAGGATGGAGTTCTTCCAAACCCCATAGCAACCCAAACTGCTAATGCAGCCTCAGTTTAGGCTAAAGCATGAACTTTAGGACTTCATGCTCCATAAGGTTTATCTTCAACCACGCACACAACAATTAAGCCTCCAAGTGACAATGGCAAGAAAGCATGCAATGCATGTTAGAGTTAAGATTAACCCCAAGTTTGTGTCAAATAAAAGCTCTAGGGGTAAAATAATAGGGAGGCATGTTTTAAGTACAACTTTTCCAAATTGTCCGTTGTTGACAGTGAAAGATTGTTATTCGAAAAAAATAAAGTACAAAAGCAGACTGAATTCATAAAAACTCAGAGAGCTCAGTCATACATTGATATATTAATGTTTTGATATCAATACAAATAATGGTATATATATTTATATTCAACAGAATGTGCTATATCACAAACAAATACAAAAAATAAAAAGGGCAAAATCTGCCCACCCTAACATCACGTGAATCACTGAACAAAGTTTTGTGCAATACCACACAATATGGCATTCTACATCAACCAGCCTTTCCCATTTTTCATCAAGCGATCTTTCAAACATCATAAAACCCCTGGTTCCCATAAAGAAACAATTACAAGTGAGAGAGGGGAATTAAAAAGGGCAATATAAGAGAATACCATCCAGGCATCTCAGTGGCAAATGGAAGCCTCTCTCAATATATTTTCAAATTCAATCAAAATTTCCACCATCACCGATGCGAAGTCTTTCTTCTAGAAAAGACGCGAAGATTCATCTTCCCTTATGACAAATGATCTGGTTGCCAAATGAAGTAACTCAAAGCGGTAGAATCATTTAAGGGTTTCAAAAAAGCTCCTCTGAATTGAACTTGTTCCAAGCTTCCTATAATAATTCAACGAGTGCAATCAGCTTTCTATGGGAATACTAGTGTCCATACCAAACTACCCAGACGTGTATAATGATACTAATGTCAAATCAAGCAACCTAACTATTCTCTGATGTAATCACTAATAATACCTAAAGCAGCACAAAAGCAACAGTAATGGGTAACTGATAAACAGCTCTCTGAAATAATACTTTGATTTGTAGAAATTACCTTAAGGAGGTCGAACACCTTCTCGGCTATATACTTCTGTTGAAGATTGGCACCTTTTTGTTGTACTTTATCAGGATGAATACACAAAGTTGCCTTCCTATATACTTTCTTAACTGAGGCAGCAGTAATCATATCAGTCAAAGAAACTGGCTGCCAACCACATTCAGGCCAGAGAACCTGATGATCATTCAAACAGTTGAGTTAGTGTAACCAGCATAAATTTTACAATAATTGTGGAACCATTCAATATTCAAGTATATCCACCACTATCAAGTACTTTGAGCACACATAATAAGAAACACAGTTTTATATTTACTCATCCAAATTGCCACAACAAAACAATGATTCAGAAGAAACACGGCTTTATAGGACTAAAGAAAAGAAACCTAAACTGATTTGGTATTTCCGCCTAAACACTGCCTTTTCAACTGGCAACAAGAAAACAATGATGCAGGAGAAAGTCTACAGTCTGACCATATGCAGATAAGAACACCAAAAAAAACTCTCCAAGATTGTACATCCAGAGAACCTTGCAGATATGGCTCTCAAACAAAGAAGACAGCATTAAAAGGGGCGCTAGCATGCCACTAATGGTTTCCCATGCAAGCACAAGCTGCTAACCATCTTCACCATTCTCTAGTAGGACTTCTCCTCATATTTGTGGCTATAATAAGTTAACCTACAAGCCACCTCATAACCAACCACAGAAACCATCGTTCCATAAAGGAAAGAAGGAAGTGCCCCATGATACCCAAACCCCAATGTACCTCAACACAAAAGAAAAATGTAAAATAATCAAAATGAGGAGCATCTGAGAACCGCAATATTTCAATTAAACATACATATTGCATGGTCGACAGCAGAGCACGCAAATTCCCCTCTTTGCCTGCAGCCCAACGCTTGATCTCAACATCTAATGTTTCAGCAATCCTCTGAAAAAATTTACAAGAATAAAACAATCAGTGATAACTCAAAAAACTTAATGTGAGCTTCAGTATAGCTGAGATGCTAAGACATATAGGGAAATAAATTGAATGGCAAATTAAAGTAGACATATACAAACATACAAAAAGTGAAGACAAGCCAATAAATTCTACCAATTTGTAGCAGTCGCAAGTTAAGAAATATACTCTCACTTACAAGTGACAAAACTTGCATCCCAATAAAAATTAATATCAAGGATGCAACTTTGTGGGACATAAATACTGAATTGGTTGGCAAAAACCCAACCTCTTTGATTAAGTTCTATATTTATAAAACAAAACAAGTAACTTTATGTTCTTATGCAATTATAGGTCAATGACAACGAGCATAAACCCATATTGCATATTCACCTAGTCTATACATCCAATCAGACAGAAAGAAGCTGTCATACAGCACATAGGAAGACAGTTATTTAATGGCAAACAGTGATTTACATGTCTCTCAGCTTGCTCTCTTAGGGCGTGAAGGTCTCTCTCGTTCTTTTCAGCCAGTGCTTTTGCCTGAAAAACAAAGACAACAATGAGAACTTCTCAGATACCACAATAAAACATAGCATAGGCACATGTACGCATGATATAAATTGGTTCAGATTCTGAGGAACACATATCCTTTCCATTTTATTCAAGGGAACTAAAATATACAAATCTAAAGAAAGAAAACACATACCGTACGCTCCTGGGTCCTTTGGTGTCGTTCTAACCTGGCTCTTCGCCTTTCTTCAGTTTCTCCTTCAACTTCCTGGAACTCTCCTCCAGAAGATGGAGCAGCTTTTCACCAAAATTAGAAAGTTCAGCAGAAGCAACATTATACATAGTTACACAAGAATATTTACAATCAAATAACTGAACTGAACACCAAGTTTCAAACTACCTCCAAAAATTGCTGAAAGATCGTCAACAATATTTGTGGTTGAATTTGCTTTTCTTATATTCGAGGAAGCAGTGCTTGATGTCTTTGGAACTTCAGGCTCTTGCCTGTTCTGAAATGGGTCCTGAAATAAAGCCATCTAGTCAAAAACACAATTTCCAAATGCCAATGAAAAAGCATTTTGCAACCTTGTCCTCACCGAGGAATTAGCCCTAGGTCGTGGTGCACTGCTAGCTCGACCCATGCTGAAAAAGTGCTCAAGATCGTTTTCACTCTTTTGTTGGTTTGCCCTTGCAGCAGCAGCAGCAGCCCTTTCTCGAGCCTCTGCAGCAGCCCTTTCTCGTGCCTCTGCAGCAGCCCTTTCTACCGCAGCACGTTCAGCTCTTGTTCGTGCTTCAGCTCCAGCCCTTGCTGCAGCAGCTCTCTCCCTTGCTTCCCTCTCCTTTGCTTCTGCATTTGCTCTTTCTCTGGCTTCTGCAGCAGCCTTTTCTGCTCTTTCCTTTGCCTCCGCTGCAGCCCTTTCCCGAGCTTCAGCTTGAGCTCTCTGAACTGCAGCCCTTTCAGCACGTTCTCTAGCTTCAGCAGTTGCCTTGTCTACAGCAGCTCTCTCTGATTTAGCCCGTTCAGCTTTTATGCGAGCTTCAGCAGCTGCTCTCTCTCGTGCTTCCCTAGTAGCCCTTTCCACAGCTTGTCTGGCCTTATCCCTTTCCCTCTCCATTTCTCTGGTTCTTTCCCTTTCCCTTTCCCTTTCAAGTTTCCTTTGTTCTCTCTCTTTCTCTTCCCACGCCCTCTCAATTTCCCTCTCTTTCTCCACTCTACTTTGTTCCATATCTTCCTCTTCGCTTTCCCTCTGCAGCCGTTCACTATCCAACCTCTCCTGTTTCTCTCTAAGCACTTTCTCATCCTGCATAGCTTTCTCATCCTTTTCCAACTGTGCTTCTTTACTTCTAGCAGCCTTTGTACTTCCTCTCTCTCTCACTTCCTTCGCATGCCTGAATTTAGCCTCAGCTCTATCCATAGCCTCCTTCATGGCAGCAGCAACTGAATTCATCTCCAATTCTTCACCAGAAAGACCATTTGCATGTTCATCAAAGTTACTTTGGCTCTTACCCATAGCAAAATCCTCAAGTTCGTCAATTGAAGAGACACCAGGGCCCCTCGCTGCAGCAGGAGCAGACTTCGGAGCTTGAAAGAACTGAGTAGAAGACTCACTAGCCTTCTTTCTCGCATTTGTGGTAGCAGGGGAACCCATTCTTGCCTTCGAAACCTGCACTGGCCTTGGAGGAGGTGGTCTTGACGGTGGTGGAGCACTAGTGGGCTGAGTCATTAGAGGGATCTCTGAAACAGTGAGCCATA